CATTTTCAATGAACAAAGTAAAATCATCAAATGACGAGCGCTAGAGGCATAGTTTTAGTGGGTATTAAGGCTCATAAGTCAACGTCTCACCTTTTCTGCGGACATCACATTCAAGGCTGCACTATGGGGCGCGGCAGACACATAGTCACTGTCGTTAAACATCGTCACCATTATGTTCTGGCTTGTGAAAAAGCTCAGAAGATCGCTGAGTTCTGAGTCTGGTATTAGGAAATGAGCAAAGAAGAAAGAATTTGTCTTGAAATAAGAAATAGACAAAAGCTGTTTAATTAAGAAACAGGCATATATTGGAAAGCTCACGCTTGTTAGGGAAGTATTTTATCTTCATTAAATAAGAGGTAAGAACACTGGCTCTGAAGCAGCCAGCCTGAACCCTAATCCAGCTGGACCACTCACACTCCCTGCCTTTCAAGCAAGCTATTCAAGACCCACTGGATCTCTGTTACCTCTTTCGTACACTAAGAATAAAGAATAACCTTTTGAATGAATTAATCCAATCTGGCATGTTGCACAAATTTCAGTGGCTGCTGCTGCTATTACTAGCACTTAAAGCACATAATACTAGGGGAGCTCTGGTGGCCTAGCGGCAAGAAGCTGCACTGCAATCCCAGAGATATGTGGTTTGAATCCACCAGATGCTCTGCCAGAGAAGGAGAGGCCATCTCCTCCTGTACCAGTCAGATCCAATTTGACCAGACACACACAGAGAAAATAATAACATTTAAAAAAAAAAATAAAGCACATAATACTGACAAAGAATTGGAATAGTTAAATAAAAATGTGCAGCAATTCTGTGTAACAAGATTACATGACCAGCACAGAAAAGCACAGTGTGCAGTTAGGGAACATTGCTCCCTGGAGGGTGAGCTCTAGACAGGTAAGGTTCATAAATATCGACTCCTTACCTACATTAAAACAGTCAACTACATCATTAAATTGCCATTGCAACTGTGTAAATGTCTTTGAGCAGAGGAAGAGTGGGGTTTAAATCCAATCTTCTGCCTGGAGTTAAATCCTTATTAACACGTCTGAGGTAGTTTATCCTCCTTATCACATTATTCAAGGAAAGATAGATGTGATGCACCCTAATATAATCAGTAACTAAAGAGCTCTGGTGGGGTGTTCAATGGCAGTAATTAGCTACTAACTGAAAGGTTGATGGTTCAAATCCACCCGTCTCTGTATGGGGAAAAGCATGTATCAATCTGCTTTTGTAAAAATCAGGCTTGAAACCTATGAATCAGCCAGTCTACTCTGTCACTATGTGTCAGAACTGGCTTGACAGCAGACAGCACTGAGAAGTGAAATTGAACAGCATTTGGATCAAAGTTAGCACCAAACCTGAGCACAGCATTCAGCAGTGCTTTCAGGTGTGACGTGAAAACGTGTTTAACCACTCCTGACTGGTGCCTTAGGTGATGTCTATCTCCTGCTCATCAGAGTGCCTGTGTCCTCCAAGGAGTTACTCTAGGGCTGAAGGAACTGGAAGAGGGCATGGGCCACCAGGCAATATGTGCTTATCAAGCATGTTGTTTGTTGTTATGTGCTATTGAGTAGCTTGCGACTCACAGCGACCCTATGCACAACAGCTCTAAACTCTTTTCTGTCCTGTGCCAATCTCATTGTCTCTGACACACTCATCCCGATTCATTTCTTATAATGTGTGCATGTCCCATGATTCCTAGAGGCAAGTGGCTTTATCGAAACAAGCAACAGGCCTTGGGGAAACATGGCATCCATATAGAAGCAACTCCAGTAATATTTAAAAATAATGGAGGAGACAAAACTTTTCAAAATATTAGTGCTTCTGCTGAACAGTGAGAGGGAACTCAGAGCACAGTCAGTTGAGACATACATATAATTCCACAAAATATCTCTAAAATCATCACAATGAATAGAAATATCTACATTTTAACAAGATAAAATGTAGATCAAAAAAGATCTTCACCCTGAAACCTACAGAGTCCCTTTTCAGCAGGAAGTAGCTAAGAGAATATGCCATCCCCTTTTCCTTATGAA